TGGCCTGGGGAAGTCGAACCTGGGCTTTGTTTTGGTTGCTGTTACAGCTTACTTTCCTTTCACTTCGACTATCAAATTATGTACTAACTAGGCAGGAAGATGTGGAGGAAGCACTGTGTCCTGTTCAACTCGCAAAGCAGACAGTGTTAGGATGTTATCTTCCTGACAGTTGGGAAGGAAATAAAAAGAATAGAAGAGCCCCACACTATACGATTGGCATCAGTATGGAATCCTTGTTTCATTATCAGAAGTCTAAAATTATCTAGGTAGATTCAAAAGCTGCTAACGATTGCATGGGAAAATAGCTTAATTAACAGTTTTACCATGGATCCTAAATGCCATCTTTCCTGATTTTGCTGCTAAACCCATTTTCTTTCCTATAAAATCAGGTCCCCTGTTACATATTTCTGTTTCAGTCCATGTCACCTTCATTCTGCTGCTGACCTGGAGTTGAAACCTTGAAGTCTTTCATGAGTTTTCCTCCCCACCCCTTCACCCTAAGTCCTGATGATTTTTCTTCCTTTTGCATCTGTCCCCTTCCTCTCAATTCCTGATGTAGCCATCCTGCTTCAGACCACCTGTACCATTGAAATTGAACACCAATTGCCTTCTGATGTAATTTTCATTTATTCAGTAAAAAATTCTTGGCTGGGCGAGGTGGCTCACGCCTGTAATCCTAGCACTCTGGGAGGCCGAGGTGGGCGGATTGCTTGAGGTCAGGAGTTCAAAACCAGCCTGAGCAAGAGCGAGACCCCCGTCTCTACTATAAATAGAAAGAAATTAATTGGCCAACGAATATATATAGAAAAAAAAATTAGCCGAGCATGGTGGCGCATGCCTGTAGTCCCAGCTACTTGGGAAGCTGAGGCAGGAGGATTTCTTGAGTCCAGGAGATTGAGGTTGCTGTGAGCTGGGCTGACGCCACGGCACTCAGTCTAGCCTGGGCAACAAAGTGAGACTCTGTCTCAAAAAAATAAAAATAAAAAAATTCTTGAGGGCCTATCGTGTGTCAGGCTGTATGCTGAGGATGTAGGTGAAAAACACAATTTCCTTGTCCTTAGGAGTTTACATTTTAGTGGGGGAACCAAGTGTACCACCAAGTGCAGTCAAGTGAGATGGTATGGAATTCAGAGGAGACACTAAAGTTTCCTGCAATTTCATAGCAGTATTTTTTGATCCATGTAGGTTTTTTTTTTTTTTTTTTTTTTTTGAGACAGAGTCTCGCTTTGTTGCCCAGGCTAGAGTGAGTGCCATGGCGTCAGCCTAGCTCACAGCAACCTCAAACTCCTGGCTCAAGCAATCCTCCTGCCTCAGCCTCCCGAGTAGCTGGGACTACAGGCATTCGCCACCATGCCCGGCTAATTTTTTTTTTTTTGTATATATATTAGTTGGCCAATTAATTTCTTTCTATTTATAGTAGAGACGGGGTCTCGCTCTTGCTCAGGCTGGTTTAGAACTCCTGACCTCGAGCAATCCGCCTGCCTCGGCCTCCCAGAGAGCTAGGATTACAGGTGTGAGCCACCGCACCCGGCCATGTAGGTTTTTTTAAAATTTTTTTATTTTAGCGTATTATGGGGGTACAAGTGTTATGGTTACATATATTGCCCATGCCCCCCCCCCTCGAGTAAGAGCTTCAAGCGTGTCCATCCCCCAAACGTTGCACATCTTACTCGTTGTGGTTGTATATACCCATCCCTTCCCCCTCCCACCCTCCCGACACCTGATAAATGTTACTCCTATATGTCCACTTAGGTGTTGATCCATTAATACCAATTTGCTGGTGAGTACATGTGGTGCTGGTTTTTCCATTCTTGAGATACTTCACTTAGTAGAATGGGTTCCAGCTGTATCCAGGAATATACAAGAGGTGCTATATCACCATTGTTTCTTAAAGCTGAGTAGTATTCCATAATATACATATACCACGTTTTATTAATCCACTCATGAATTGATGGGCACTTGGGTTGTTTCCACAGCTTTGCAATTGTGAATTGTGCTGCTATAAACATTCGAGTGCATGTGTCTTTTTCATAAAGTGACTTTTGAGCTTTTGGGTACATGCCCAGTAGTGGAATTGCTGGATCAAATGGTAGATCTACTTGTATCGCTTTGAGGTATCTCCGTATTGCTGGGTCTGCAAACATGTAGTTTTAATATTGAAAGCTTTTTTTTTTCCTTGTTCTTAAATGTTAACTTTTGCACTTTGATTTCTTTTCTATCCCTAATGGATATAGCAACAACTAGTTACTGTCTTCTTTTCTTTTTGAGTCGGAGTCTCTGTCGCCTGTGCTAGGGTGCCATGGTGTCAGCCGAGCTCACAGCAACCTCAAACTCCTGGGCTCAAGCAATCCTCTTGCCTCAGCCTCCCAAGTAGCTGGGACTACAGGCATGTGCCATCATGCCTGGCTAATTTTTTTTCTATTTTTAGTTGTTTGGGTAATTTCTTTCTATTTATAGTAGAGATGGGGGTCTTGCTCTTGCTCAGGTTGATTTCGAACTTCTGACCTTGAGCTATCCACCTACCTGGGCCTCCCCAGAGTGCTTGGATTACAGGCATGAGCCACCGTGCCCGGCCTTTACTATCTTCTTAATAATAGCTCTTCAAATGTTTGACCAAGAAACACCTCTCAGCTCTCTCTTTAGTCAAAATAAACTTAATTTCTTCACAGGTGCTTCATTCCTATTACTAATTATCCAACTCTGTCGATAATTTGGAATCCAAAACAGTACACAGATGGAATGATTCAAAAAGCCTTTAGAGCAGAGTTTCTCACACCTATCACTAGCATTTTGTTACAACACAGATTCTGATTCAGTAGGTTCAGGTGGGGCCTGAGATTCTACATTTCTAAGAAGTTTCCAGGAGGTGCTGATACCACTTGGAGATTGAACATGTGTCCTGCTAAGAGGGTTTTGGAAGATGTAAAGAGATAAAGAATTAAGATAAAAACAAGTGAAGGGGGCCAGGCAGGGTGGCTCACATCTGTAATCTTAGTATTGTGAGAAGCTGAGGCGGGAGGATCACTTGAGGTCAGGAGTTAAAAAACAGCCTGAGCAAGAGTGAGACCCTGTCTCTACCAACAGTAAAAAATAAATAAATAAATAAATAAATAAATGGCTGGGTGTAGTGGCAAACACCTGTAGTCCCAGCTCCTCAGGAGGCTGAGACTAGAGGATTGCTTGAGCCCAGGAGTTTGAGGTTGCTGTGAGCTATGATGATGCTGCTGCATTCTACCTGGACAAGACTCTGGCTCAAAGAAAAAAGAAAGAAATAGGTGAAGGTATGTTTTTTTCTACCTGTATGGATGGATCCTGTAGTCTGTACATCCTGTTAACTCACATTTAGTCTTGCTAATCTAAAACAACAATTACCTACTCAGCTGGGTTGGCAGTGAATCTTGCCAGTGATCTAACTAGAAAGCTTCCACCCTCCCCCCTCCCATGTCAGCCTTTGGGGAGTGAGTCTCTTCCATGTCATAGTGAGCTGTGATAAGGTGTGCACCCACCTAATGGAGGCTGCGATATGATTCCCTGAGGCCCTCAGCCACTGAGTAATAGGAAACCCCATCTTTGGCAGTGGGAGGTGTTCCTTTTGGCAGTCTGCCAACATCCAACTGGTTTGTGTAACAGTCAGGCTTCAGGACTGGCTTCTGAGGCAAGTCTGTATCCTACAATGTGTAGTCGGGAACTGACGGAAAATTTATCTTTAGCTTTTAAGATTCCCGTTAGAAATTCTCAACTTGTATCTTTGGCAGTTAAGTGACCTGCCTGTGACCTGCTCAGAGAGCCTGCCAGAGTGGAATGCAACTGTCTCTTTATTCTGCTTGAGTGTTGTTTTCTGGTGATTTTCTGTGGATCTTCTACTGGCTCCACCTATCTTCTTCTGTTCTACAGATATTCTTGTAGACCAACGACAGAAAAGCAGTTGCTACAGGCATTTTGTTCCTGCGTCTTTACAACCAATGTTAGAAAGAATTATTTCCGTCATCTCTCTTGGGAACTTTCCTATGGAATTCCCCCCACAGATTGGGTTGCAACAATGGCTTTTAGATTCCTGAGATCTGTCTCAGTAGAAACCGGCAAATCTTGATGATGTCAGTCTGGGGAGGAGAGTTGGTAAATGGCTTGTTTTCAAACTTCAGCCTGTGTCAGATTCACCAGGAAGGCTTGCTAAAATGCAAATTGCTGGGGCCCTATACCCCTAGAGCAGGCGTCCTCAAACTACCTGGCCGGGCCCCTAGCGGATTTTATCTGGCCCTCTGGGAACACCGACTGCCTGTTCTGCTTAGCAGCTGATTCCTCCTGGGCCCACAGTGTGCACTCTCCAACAGTCTGAGGGACAGTGAACTGGCCCCCTGTTTAAAAAGTTTGAGGACCCCTGCCCTAGAGTTTCTAATTCAGCAGGTCTGGAGCAGCGCCTAAGCATGTGTAACATCTGCTGTTCCTTCTCATATTATTGTGATTTGGGTACATAACAGTGATGACTAGAGAGAGGGGTGGGCACCTGTTCACAATAGTACACGCACTGTTGATTGTCAACCCCATCATTACCTTTCAGTCCTCATAGGTTTGTTACTTGGTTTTTGTTGTTGTTTTAAACTCTGAGGCCCAAGGAAGCAGCGACTCTCTGGTGTACCTGTGCAGCCAGTGCCCTTTGTGGTAAGCAAGCCCACTCCGTATAAGGCTTCTTGCTTTATACTAGAAGTAGAGAACTGATCTTCTAGGGGAAGGATATATGGAAGAATAGGATGGGAACAGTTAGGAAACTTACTTCCCACGCACCTTCCTATCATTAAAATTTTTTTAAATGAATTTGGGTTTTGGGCTGCTGAGACAGCGTAAAGGAAGGGGAAGTTTGGTAGATCTGGGTCTTCCCATTCCTCTAAATCCCTTAGTCATCCCTTGCTCGCATTACAAGGATAAGATGGTTGGTTTGGGTTTTGTTTCGCTCATACTCCTTGTTATTAAAGGTGGCTAATGAATACTTTCTCTTACAGCAGTTCTGGAGCATTCCAGGAGGAACAGAATGATCTCGATCTTGGTCTTGGTGACCTTCCCTCTGATGAGGAGGAAGACATCAACAGTTCTGATGAAGACGATGTCAGCTCTGAGTCCAGTAAAGGAGAGCCTGACCCACTGGAAGATAAACAGGTACATTTTGGTTGTTCCTACTTTTGGGTATTTTGGCTTCTCACTATGCTTGGGGATAATATTTATCAGCCTGCTAGGCACAAAAACCTTGGTGAGTTTTCTTACAATTTATAACACATTTTCCAAATTTAATTTTAATTCCTGCTATAATGTAGCACCTAACATAGTATCATGTTTCTAAGCTCCTATCACTTAGAGATTATTTAGTCACTTAGAGATTATTATTTAGAGATTTTTGAGAAATTATTTTTACTAACATCTCCTGACTTTCTTTTTGGTACTGAAAAGCCCTCTTAGGATTGTTACTTGTAATGCTACCAATTCTTCTTAGATTTTTTTTGAAAGGAAAGAATTAAATGCATTTCAGATTCAATCAAATCTTCTAAGGGATTTGATTTAGTAAGGATTGCTGTAGTAGTACATTATTGTTTGCTTTGAGATATTTCAGTGTGTATATGTTTGGGGCAGCACAGTATACATGAAGATTGTCCATCTGCTGATAGTTGTTCAAGATGTGTCACAGGGGCTTCATTATAATGTCTCACTTAGTTTGGGGTGAATGTCTGTTTATCTGTTTCATTTTAAATCACATTTCTTTTAATTAATATATTAATAAAGGGAAAAATTATTATATTAGCAGAGTTCCCAGGATGTATTGGATTGTTGCAGCAAGATAGAATTTGAAATGATCCATACAACATGTCAAGCCATAGAGAAAATCCATGTCACCTAATTCCTATGCCATAATTTATCACTTTATTATCCTTCCTGTTTAACATATTTTGTGCTCTGTTTAAATTTATTTTCAGCCTTAAAAGAATGGCACAAGTACAGTTGTCTGGATTTAAGTCCCAGCTCCACCAGCTACAATCTGAGTAACCTTGGGCTAATTATTTAACATTTTTGGACTAAAAAAAGACTAGTACTTATAGAATTGTGAAGATTAAATGATTCGATGTATGGAAAGCCTTAGAACACTGTTCAGTACACAGTAAGAGCTCAGTGATCATTTGTTTATTATTTATTACTAGCAAGACTTCCTTTCTATACTGTAAGGTATTAAATCATGGTTTGGGGAATAACCACTAGAAATTAGTTAGGCAGGTGAATCTGTAAAACTCCTGAGGCATATGAATGACTCTGTTCTTCGTAAAGACCCAGCATTCCTCAGCAGCCTCAGGTTTTACTTTACTCTCTTTGACTCTTGTGTCTTATTGGCATCTTTCTTGCTAAAATTTGAAAGCTCATTTCCCACATTTCTGCTTCATGAACATATATTCTACAAATATTTATAGAATGCCAACTATGTCCTAGGTACCGCTGGTATTTACTAGAAATAAACAATGTTCAAGGTCCAAGCTTCTATGGCACTCACATCCTAATGGGACAAGAGGATCCATAAATGCATAAACAGGATGAACTTCATAGTGTTATGGGCTATGAAGGGAACAAATCAGAGTGGTGTGCTAGAAACTGAGAAGGCTACTTTGATTTTTTTTTTTTTTTTTTGGGAGACAGGGTCTCACTATGTTATCCAGGCTGGTCTCAAACTCTTGGGCTCAAGAGATCCTCCAGCCTCTGTCTCCTAAGTCCTGGGATTACAGGTGCACGCCACTGCTCTTGGCTTAAGGAGGCTACTTTGGATAAAAGCCTCTGAGAAGGTGATATTTGACTATTTTTTTAATGTCCTTTAAATTTCTTTTTTCTCTTTTTTTCCATTGAATCTTTCATCTGTTGTCTTTTTTTTTTTTTTTTTTGCCATGTTCCCTATCATCCTGAAATTGACTAAGATGTAAATGACTGCCAAAGCCTTCGAAGAATTTGAGGAAGATGGCCAGGTGCGATGGCTCATGCCTGTAATCCTAGCACTCTGGGAGGCTGAGGCGGGTGGATCGCTCAAGGTCAGGAGTTCGAAACCAGCCTGAGCAAGAGCGAGACCCCGTCTCTACTATAAATAGAAAGAAATTAATTGGCCAAACTAATATATAGAAAAAATTAGCTGGACATGGTAGCACATGCCTGTCATCCCAGCTACTCAGGCTGAGGCAGTAGGATCGCTTGAGCCCAGGAGTTTGAGGTTGCTGTGATCTAGTCTGATGCCACAGCACTCACTCTAGCCTGGGCAACAAAGTGAGACTGTCTCAGAAAGAAAAAAAGAAAAAAAAAGAATTTGAGGAAGCGCATTCACAGAGCCTTCCTCTCTAAGGGCCATAATTAAAATTAACCATTACTCTCTCTGATGGGCAACCCTGCAACCCTAAGTTCTTTTCTTTTCGTAACATATTCTATTCTATCATTTTGGTTATTTGTTTCTTTTCCATGAATCTTTTTCAATCGCCCCTTATACTTGAAGTGGTGACCGAAATTGGTTCCCACATCCAACTAGGGATCTCCCTGATACATGGTCTAAAGAAGGATTAATCTCTGACCTTGTTGTGTTATGCCTCTTCCCAACATATCCTGTGATAACACTGCCTGGTTGACTCATTCATTTTGTGGGCAGTGGAGACTCCCAGGGTTCCTTCCTCTATATTTGTGCCTGCCTTTCCTATCCCTTCCTGTATTTATACTATTGTTTTATGCTCTTAGTTGTGCCACACTGCAATATCCCAGTTAAATCTTTATCTTTCTTTTAAATGGGGCTATTTCTTTGGTTAATCAGAGACATTTCACATTTTTTTACCTGATGTCAGTAGCACTGATAATTTCCCTCCTTTAGAATTCTCAGCCACTCTAATGAACTTACTCTTTGTCTTGTCATCTGAGACAACAATAGCAGTAATAGAATAATCTGACTCTCCCTTTCTAGACAATTGTTGACCCATCTAGCCACAGCCTGGTGAATACTTTTCTCTCTATTTTTCTTAGGCTTAGTTTCCCCTTCTTTAAAAAGAGAAGGGAGTAGAGTGGATCCTTGTCCTTATTTGCTAGGATGGTGTGATGATTAAATGATTATACCCTGTTTAGAACACTGCCTGACACAAAATGAGTGCTTAATAGATTGTTAGTTATTATTATTGGTGTTTATGAAAATAAGCAAGCAAAATCTTAAATATCTTAAGTCAAGCTTTATGTAACCTTACCAATTAATATATTCTTTTAAGTTTGCCTTTTTTATCTTTGATGAGTAAATGTCAAACTTGTAACATGTAAGGCAGTATTTGTTTTACTGGAAAATTTTGAAATTTGGCATTTTTTATTTTTCTTAAAGGAGGTGGGGGAGGAGAGTATGAAGGTTGGCATTCTAAGACCTATGTTTCAGTCCCAGCTCTGCTGCTTACTCGCTATTATGTATGCCCTAGATCAGATAATTTTTAAAAGTCAATTACTTTATTTACACCAATCTTTTTTCACAGTAGGTTTTAGATGAATTTATTTATGTAAATAAATTACATAATACAAAAAGTTAAAGAAATCAGGGTGTTAATAAATCGTGCTCTAATTAGTGGTTATCCACCTGTAAAAGAATGGAGTTGGACCTCTTCCTTTTACCAAGAACAAAAATGAACTCAAAATGAATCATAGATTTAAATGTAAGAACTCAGGCAGTAAAACCCTTAGAAGAAAATACAGAATAATTCTTTGTGTCCTTGGGTTAGGCAAAGGCTTCTTATCTACAACAGCAAAAGCACAAGTGGTGAGAGGGAAAAGTAGGCAAATTGGACTTCATCAAAATTAAAAGCTTTAAGGCCGGGCGCGGTGGCTCACGCCTGTAATCCTAGCACTCTGGGAGGCTGAGGTGGGCGGATTGCTCGAGGTCTGGAGTTCAAAACCAGCCTGAGCAAGAGCGAGACCCCGTCTCTACTATAAAAATAGAAAGAAATTAATTGGCCAACTAATATATATACAAAAAATTAGCCGGGCATGGTGGCACATGCCTGTAGTCCCAGCTACTCGGGAGGCTGAGGCAGAAGGATCGCTTGAGCCCAGGAGTTTGAGGTTGCTGTGAGCTAGGCTGATGCCACGGCACTCACTCTAGCCTGGGCAACAGAGTGAGACTCTGTCTCAATAAATAAATAAATAAATAAAAGCTTTAGTACAGCAAACAATAAGATCAAGAAAGTGAAAAGGCAACTCACAGAGTAGGAGAAAATATTAGCAAAACATATCTCTGATCAAGGACTCATATATAGAAAATATAAAGAACTCTTACAACTCAATATTCAAAAGATAAATAACTGCAAGCCTAAGGATCTGAATAGACAAAGGAAAATGTACAAGTATCCAATAAGCACATGAAAAGATGTTCAACATCATAAGCCATTAGGGAAATACAAAGCAAAACTTTGATGAGGTACCACTTTATACCCACTAGCATGGCCATAATCAAGAAGATGGGCAATAACAAGTGTCGGTGAGGATGTGGAGAAATTGAAACCCTTACATAATGCTGGTGAAAATGTAAAATGATATAACTGCTTTGGAAAACATTCTGGCAGTTCCTCAAAAGCTTGATTGTAGAGTTACCATATATTTAACCCAGCAATTCTATTCTTATTCTTAGGTATCTACCCAAGAGAAATGAAAACATATGTCCACACAAAAACTTATGCAGGAACGTTCATAGCATTATTCATAATAGTCAAAAAGTAGAAAGAATCCAAATGCTCATCAGTTGATGAGTAGATAAACTAAATATGGTATATCCATATAGTGGAATATTATTCAGGCATATAAAAAGGACTGGGAACTGACTGATAATGGGCATGAGTTTCTTTTTCAGATGATGAAAATGTTATAACATTACAATCCTGAATACATTAAGAACCATTGAATTGTATACTTTAAAAGGGTTACAATATATTTTATGGTATGTGACTATCTCAATAAAGCTGTTAAACAATAAAAGAAATTCTGCTGAAGAAAAAACAATAGTGCCAACTGGAATATTAGTACAAAATAATGCATATCATATAGCCCTATTCTACCAAGGATGGGCCAAAAGTTTTGGTTTTCTAGCAACTCAAGTAAAGAAGGTGATATCAGTGTCCAAAAGAAAAAACAAGTTCTTTGGGGTAGAAGCATAGGAAGAGAAGTTTATAACTGCTTTGTTACTTAGTTTCAATTTGGAAAATGGGATACTTTTATTCTCTGAGTTGTTTTGAGGCTCT